GGACTGGGGTTGTTCGGTAGATCGATGTTTCGGATAACCGATTATGTACGAAAAAATTTATTAACCTAGCCCATGTTGAAATTTTTCTCCATTGCATGTCGCTTCGCGTTGAATTTTTGTCAATGTTAAGCCTAACAAAAATTTTTTAAAAATAATTTTTAATGATACAACAGTCATGATTATTTCTTTATTTTGCACAAACAAAATACATATATCGAAAAATATAAAAACAGAAAAATTATATTTCGGATGATAATCTAGTATCAAAAACATTCCGATTCAGCATGACATATGTCCAGACACACTCCTCAGAAAAACACCACACAAAACAAGCAAAGCTCACCACTCACGATGGGAAAAAAAGCCTTGTTCAAATACTGGCGTGTCCTTAGGCAAAGTCCTAGATTATAATATAGGACCTCGGTCCTTAGATACCTTCTCATGGTTGTGCCAGTGCTGCCAGCTAAATCACACACACACACCAACAAAAATAATAATGGAGTAGCCCAAGACAGCCAAATATTGCAGCGCCACAGCGCTAGCAGAAATTTGAATTTGCCAACTGGGATGCTTTCGGTTGATCAGTATTCGGATAATTGATGCTGCTCTACTGTATATATAAATCGTATATGTGATTAAAGTCATTTGTATTGCTAAAAAGTAAGACTTTTTTACAAACATAAAATATTGAATGTGTTTGATTCTTTTATTGTAATAATAAAATCTGTTTGATTTTCTAGATATTAGGAGTGGACCAGATATTAAAAGGTTAGAAACATCCGAATCGACCTGTATGTCAGGAATGACAGAGGAATCTAGTATAGGTTAGTATTTTTATGGTAATAATTTTTAAGAATTAATATTCAACATGCACTTCATTCATATATTTGCTGCTCTTTGTATTTTAACACTAAGTGACAAAAACAGAGTAATGACATTCAATTCTTGTATTCTTAATATCACTTCTTGTCTGGTTAAGATTTTCTTATATAAATTTGCTAAACTTAATTCAATGGTGATTTTATTTCCACTCTTGTGTAATAAGTCTGAGAATAAAATTACCATTAAATTAATATATGAAAAGCATTCAATTCTATTTCTAGTGTATGCTGTATTGATTAAATATTTAGAAAGGAAAACAATAGTTAATTAATTCTAAATAAATATATCTTACAAAGATAATCATTTTTTTCATAAATTTAAATAATAAATTTATGAAAAAATATTTTCCTTAGAACAAGAAATAATTATTTTCACTTTGTTTACACATTAAAGTCAATATTTAATACATAAAACTTGATGTAAAATGGCAATCCAGATTTGAAACTTTTATATTTATTTTATTATAGAATGCAAGATCTTTACTTAGGCATTGTCATTTTCACCTGGATTTAAACAGCCTTTTTTGTTGATTTACAAGAAATCTGAGGATTATATATGATAATTTTTGTTTTGAGTGTTTTATTATGGGAGTTATTTGGGGTTTAATAAAAAAAATACTACTAAAGATTTTTAGTTTAAAGCATTTAAAACAAATTACCATTGATTTTCTAAATGAACGTGTTTGGTTGGGTTTCATTTGAATGACCCTCATATTAAACACTTTATTTATTTAGTACATACAGTACATTTTCCACTTCAGCATCTGATTAAACCTATGCCCTTTCAGGTGACTCTTAAGCTTCTCAAAAATATGGAAATCGTATGGAGACAAATCAGAACGGTATGCAGGATGCTGGAGTGTTTCCCACTTGAATTTCACAAGACTCTTGCATAATGTGGGTGGGCATTGTCATGGACAATGACACCTTGTGAAAGCAGACCAGGCCGCTTGGACTTGATGGAAGCTTGTAGAGACTTTAAAAATTCCACGTACTGAGCATTTATGGTGGTTCCACAGGTGGTAAACTTCACCAGCTCAGTTGTTGATGCATCCATGCTCGAAAGTTGGAGTATCTGCCTGACGTTTAAACAAACGCAGCTTGTTTGTAGGTTCATGTGACAGTAGCATCATATGACACTGCTGTGTGAGCCTAGTGTTTCCACATACATTTCAAATGGAGAATGATTGATTCACTATACACATTCTGTGCTTTAATATATCCATTAGTCAGGTTTCATTTGAATGACCTCAAAATTGTAGAAGTAAATAGAAAAATAAATTTTGGAAAATCCACATTAAAGAAATTGTTGTCAAAACTTATGCCAAGAGATTTTGGTCAAAATTTCATTTAGAAAGAAATTACTTGTAATGTGCTTTTTATAGTTTTTCATATTAAGGATTTTAACCTTTTAGCATATTGACTATACATTGTATGACTTGACATGTTTTCAAAAGTCAAAGCTAACCAAAGCTAACTTTGTTAATATTTCACAATAATGTTCCCAGTTGATTTCAACATACAAAATAAAAAAAAATTTTTTTAAGAAAATAAAAAACATTAAATGTAACAAAATAATTATCAGTAAATGGTACCTTATTTACAGTGCTTTGATAGTTGCAGGATGGTAGTTACACATTGTGCCTGAATCAGTGAATATCTGTATTGTGTGTGTTTTTTTTCCCCCATCAAAACTGTGATATAAGAATCGGAAGGTTGTTATAGCAAAAAGCTGTATAATGAGAATAGTATGTTTTTTTTTTTCCTTTGACCTATCATTATATTCATGTATTTAAGAGAAATGCTTATGCTTATTATTCAACTTGCATCATTTTTTGACTTAAGTTGCATCATCTGAAACCAGTTACTGATGTAGGGTGAAGTATTACTACAACAGTATATATATATAACATAAAATTTCTTACATTAGAATTAAATACATTCAAATTTTGTATTAGGTATGTTGTTTTCATTACAATATTTATGATCCTCTTAACATAATGGTAATTTTTTTCTTTTTTGTCCTTTCCAGTTTGACTTCTCAAAAATGTATTATTTTATATTATAGTATATATTATATACTTAACAAAAACGGTTTTTGTGTAGGTTTTGTAGACATCAGTCAAGATTCTCAGGCAGAAACAATCGAATCTCAGCCGCCTAGCGACGAAGCCACAAATCTCAGTCTCCCCGAAAACAGCAGCGATGCCCAATTTCCAGACAGCCACCATGGTAAGTAATAATTAAGATCGATATTCGGGGTAAAAGAAATAGTAACTTTTGTCCAAAAGTGGAGGTGGTCTACGTTTTACACAAACAAATTTTATATAATTTGTTTATAGTTCACACACTTCATGACTTAACAAACTATCTTTAAGTTTTAAAAATGTCAAAATATCATGGCTACCTATTTACTAAAGATCCAGTCAATTATTGCAAAACTTACTTTCTGCTTATATTTTGTGACATTTGTAGTTTTGTTAAAGACAAAGGTTTGACAACTGTAATTTCAATGCTCTTCAGCACATACTGCATTATATTCTCGAAATGCACATTTTAATGTTAAATTCAAAAATTCATCCGACCACTGGTCAGTATACCAAAATATCTCTTGGTACATTGTACAGTCTGTATGCAATAACTTCAGATTGTTGTTTTGGGCTGCAAATGTAAGATTAATTTGACAAAGTAGAATTGAGGAAATACAATATTAAACAGTAATAGATGACATTGTTAGCATTACAAAGGCTCCACATTTTATCAGCTTTTCCAAATGTTAGTTTTAAAAATATATTTGATTTGCATGTAAACTATTCTTTTAGAGCTTTAAAATCAAAAAATATTTGTGTTAAATCAGGCTTGTCTTAAATGAATTAAATGTTATGTTTAAAATCCTGCTGCTTCAATTTATTATTATAAAAGCAAAAATTCTTGAACAAAGTTACCCATTGGAAGCATGAAAATTATGTGCTGGACTAATATTTATTGGTTCCAAGGAGTAATGGCTTGAATATATTGAAAAATAATGTATATTGTAACAAATAGTCATCATTCTCTTCTACACCAGGCAATAATTATTGACCTGGCATTGGTGTGATGTTTTAATGTTACATTAATATTAAGATTTACTTTAGTCTTTTTCAAGATTTGCTGATATTCTAATGATTATGATAGATATTGTAGAGAGATTTTTTAAGCCTTACTGCACCAAGTATGCTATTGTTAGTCACTTCAAATCTTTGAATGGCATTTCTATAATCTTGAAAATTTCATGCACAGGAAACACATGAAACTACACAAACTGTGTGTATAGATTTATCAGGCTGAATTAATATACAGGCATCCCTCATATAACACATGTTTTTGGAACTTTTTTTCCCTCATAACTAGTCTTGTTAGGCAAATCTGCACTATACAAAACATGAGGTTAGGCTTCAAAGAAGTGTACTATTCTTTTATTACTTAGAGAAATATGTTTGAAAATAAATTAATAATAATTAACTAATGATCAATAAAGCAATCACACTTAAAAGCCCTGTATCATGCATTAATATTAATTTTAGTTAGATGGCGGCGATACATTATAGAAAGAAAATGCCCTCGTCTGAGTGGTTTTGTTAATCTTGATCAGAAATATCGGCAACATTTTCAATCACATTTTTGTCATCCATAAAAAAATTTTTAATAGAAAATTTTGTTCTAGAGGGTAATGTTTGAGTACACACTGATTTTTTTTCCCCAGAATTTGGTGTTGGAATACTGAGATAACCTTGTATTTTGTTTATCATTTTAACAAATAAGTTTTTTTAAATTGTAGGTAAGTAAATAACACTTGCCTTAAAATGTTTAAATACAAATCTGTCTGTCACTGTGTTTTGTTTTTATAATGCTAAGGGGCAGTCCATAAATGTGGTCACAATGGGCGAGAGAAGGGTTATGACAAGCCAGACAAACGTTGAATTTCAATGGATGTATATTTTATTTCATTAAATTTTTATTATCCATAAAGTGATAAACTATATAAATGTATAAAAGTTGAGGGGGTTATGGGAGGGGGAGTACAAATTTCAATAAAAATGCAGATATAATTTATGGACAGCCCTGAGGGCTAAAGTCAAAGCAACAACAGAAACAAACTAGTTGATAGGAAAGTTAGAACAAGGAAGAAAAAAATTGTACTGACAAAAAGCGTTGACACGGGTTTTAGTATATTGAAAATTTGAGACAACGTGCATGCTTGCTTGAATAAAAAAAATATTGAACAGAGTTTACATGCAAAAATTGCGAAATTTTGTAGAGAGGATATTCTGAATTTTCCAATTGTTTTAGAGAAAAGTCATGTTGTATGAGGGATACCTGTACTTTGACNAAATACAAATCTGTCTGTCACTGTGTTTTGTTTTTATAATGCTAAGGGGCAGTCCATAAATGTGGTCACAATGGGCGAGAGAAGGGTTATGACAAGCCAGACAAACGTTGAATTTCAATGGATGTATATTTTATTTCATTAAATTTTTATTATCCATAAAGTGATAAACTGTATAAAAGTTGAGGGGGGTTATGGAAACTGGGACAATGGGAGGGGGAGTAAAAATTTCAATAAAAATGCAGATATAATTTATGGACAGCCCTGAGGGCTAAACTCAAAGCAACAACAGAACAAAGAAGAAAAAAATTGTACTAACAAAAGACGCAAAACAAATTTTAAATTGCCCACGGGTTTTAGTATATTGAAAATTCGAGACAACGTGCATGCTTGCTTGAACAAAAAAAAAATATTGAACAGAGTTTACATGCAAAAATTGCGAAATTTTGTAGAGAGGATATTCTGAATTTTCCAATTGTTTTAGAGAAAAGTCATGTTGTATGAGGGATACCTGTACTTTCACATTGACTGGTTGTGATAAACTTAATCCTTTGTGACATGACTCTCGTGCAAAGAATTTTCATGCTTATAACTCAATTAAAATAAATTGATAAATTTGATATTACGACCCACAAATGCCAGATTAACATCCTTTTCTAGCTTTGCCCGTGTTGCTTCTGCTCATTCTTTCAGAAATAATCAATTTTATTACTAAGAAAAATTTAATAAAACTGATTCTGCAGAGAAGTAGAAAAAGCACAAATACAATAATAATTTTACATTAAATATTACTAATTACCATGAGCCATCTAGATGATTTTTTTCCAAATATTTTCTAGTGTGCTAGTAGACATGTTCAATTGTAATTGAAAATTACTGTCTCAATTTCACCCACTGCATTTTCAGCTTAAAGTACATTGTAAGTATAGAGATTTTAGAAGAAGTTCAATTTGTAACTGACTCGTCAGTCCATAATTTAAAGATCAGCAACTACATTTTACTAGCATAAATTGTAGTTTAGAAACATCTCGTTGCAATACAATACAGAGTTGTAACTAATGCTGCTTTTCTCAGATTTGCTACATTCTCTGTTCACAAATATTCTCCACTATGAAAATGAATATATCTTACGTTTATTCTTCAAGTTTCCAGCTTTTGTGAAAAAATAATTCTAATGTAGAGAGATCTAAAGTTCGACTTACCTTAAATTTGATGTGAAAAATTACTGGCATTGGCAACGTCATTCTACGGAATTTATACATTCAAATAATTGCTGGGTCTTTATTATATTGGTGGCCACAAAATATAACATTGTTCTACGACAAACCTTATTCCGTCTCCCATTTGGTCGTCGGACTCCGTGGCTCGACACTACAAGAATACACCGGACGGGTGCATAGCTTAGAGGAAACATGTTATTTATTTCACATTCCAATATCCCACATAAAATGCAATCTCTTATTTGCAAATTAGGAAATAAAACATTTTTAAGCCGGTGTTAAAATAGAATTGCTAATCATTGCTAAATTTGGCTTTATTGTGCAAAATTATTAAAAGCAATTTGCTTACTTCATAGTTTAATAGTAGTAGTATGCATGCTTATTGTTGTAAAAATTGCTGATTTATATTAGTAATTGAAAGTCACTTAGAAACTAATGTACACAAATAGCCAGTATTTTTTCTACAATTTACCAATTTTTTCCTATTATAATTCAATATAAAAGGCTTATGTTACATTACATCCACTTTCATGATTTTCATAAAAAAATCAGATTGTGAACAGATGCAAAATAATTTGACTGATTATGTATTTACTACTAACTGTAGTTTACAATTTACTTTTTTGTTATCTCTATTTCAATATAATATGGATCTGAAATTTATAAAATGATATGATTAGAGTGCTAATTAAATGCAATTGGTCATTGATAAAAACAATTTTGTCTCCAGGTACATAGAAGAAATTTTTAGAGCTTACACTTTAATGGAGTTCAAATGAAAATTATTTTTCATCTAGTCCTCATTAATAAAAGGTGTAAAAATAAATTAATTGCATTAGTTTCTAAGTGGCTCGAACTAGTAAAAAAAAATTTATAAACAGTGGCATTGTGCAGTGGAACCTTGTCTAATAAGAATTTAGTGGTAATGATTTTGACCCAGCAACTGGCAAACCTGTAATTAAGCACCAAAATAATCTTCGGTACTTTATAACCATATGGAAGCATCTAATCGAGAGACTGTACAATTGCAGTCTAACAAGATGGCCTGTAAATATTGATACCATATGGTAATAACTAAAGTATGAACCATGGCAAAACCTACCAATCTTGTGGTGGGGAATCTGTGGCTTGTAGCTTGGCCTTATAAGAAACATAATAGAGAATCAAAAATTATACTTTGTATACTAGGACCAATAAAACATCAATGCATATTGCATAAATCTTATAGATTCTTCAATTAACAATCCTATAATAATTACTGTATATTTTAACATTGGTATTGTTAGCCATAAATTTAAAATTTCATACCTCAATGTTGATGTTAGAAGTTTAAACTAGGTAAATATGTATTTAAACTGCAAGAACCATATATAAATCTTCCAAGGTTCCGCTGTGCACCTAATCTCTAGAACTGCTAAAAAATGCATGCAATGTGAATGTAGTGCATTTACAAAATCTGTGTGAAAGTTGTCAAATATTTAATTGTATTAAATTTGTTTCACAGTTTCCCTTGATCTTTTCTAGGGAGCCACGTCATCAAGCAGTACTGGACAGAGGGGGGAAAGCAAATATGACTTGACTTAGCTTAACTTAAAATCTCTATAAAAAGAATGTGTAATTTATTTAGCATGTGTGCATCTTTAGTGTACGAGAGAAACGTGTGAAGATTTTCGAATAAACGTGTCTTTCCTCGGGAGTTCCGTACAGAATTTTCTCTGCGAAGTCGTGTATCGATTGGTCGAAATGTGATTCCGAATCGTTGCCGAGCAGATAACCAATAATTAGATCTAGAGAAGGTAAATGCCACTTAGAGTATACGGAAATCAAAGTGCAATTACTATTCCGACTGCTGTAGATATCTGTAATCACAAGCCACTTGTCTTGTCAGATTCTTTTAACATGATTTATAAAAACAATTTCTGCTTGAAATAGACTAAAACAAAAGGCTTTTTTTCATACTGATAAGATTCTTTCACACTGGCAATTTGTTGTAAGAAGGTTAAAACATCATGATTAATGTATTGTCAAATCTGATGTTTATCTTCCTATAACAAGAGCTGATCTGTAATAAGATTATCTAACTGCATTATACCAAATATATATGTAGTTAACTTCTATACACAACCTACATTAACAAATATGCCTTTTTAAGTTCCAGAAACTTCCATTTAAAATATGAGAGAGGAAGAGATGTTTAAATAATGAATAAAAAATTTTGATGTTAAACATTTGAACTATTAAATTCTAGTTAGCCACAACACGGGATTTATAGGTTAAGGGAGTGGAGAATTGTCATTATCAAGAACAGCCAGAGGAAGGCCAATAAATTTATTCTAAACAAACATTTTCAGGTGCACTTAAAAAGGCATATTTGTCAATGTCTTTCATATACAAAGTGCTAAGATTTAAAATCAACCAGATACAAAGTAATAACATTAAGTCCACATTAAAAAGTACCAAATTGTAGTTCTATTGGTAGTGTGTTGCATCAAAAAAACTAATTTTGACTCTGACTGTTCCCAATAAGAAAGTCTGAAAACTTCCATTTGAATCGATGCTTAGAACAAAACAAATTTATCCAGTTTGTGTTTACTCCGAATATCCGTTTTAGTTACGTTACCATTTAAAATTCTGAGGCTAAAATAAATTTTTGATTTGTTACAGATGGTCCTCCCACGCTAAAGCAAGAAGAATCTAGCGAAGACAGTAGCGAACCGCCACCGAAAAAAAATTAGGTCCGAACGGAGGCGGCACCCGCCCTATTTTTTACCAATCTTCCCGTTCGCGAGAGTAACTTCGTATGCAGATGCACCATTTATAAAAACTTTATATCTAATAAACTATTGTAACAAAACTTGCGTGATCGACAAAAAATATAGTTACAATTACGTCTAAAAACTAGCACGATACAAAAATCTTCGTATAAAAAAATATGAAATTGATTAGCTGCCAAAATTGGGCCTTCATAAAATGACACACACGTAGTTCGTATTACAAACGATACAACGTGCATATATATATATATAATACTTTAAAAAGTAGCTGCATGAACTCCGTCCGACGCATTCTTCCATTTTACTAAGCAACGGGACTCGAAAATTCACATCTGAAAGAAAACAATTTTATAAGTATTACAAACTAGAAAATTTAAAAACAACCTTTTATGTAGCATTTTTCATATTAAAATGTCTGAAAGAAACTACCAAACAGTTCAATAAATTTTGTAGATGACTTGTTTTAACAATTGCAATACAGCTTTCCACGTGCAAAGTATTTAAAAATCCAAAAATATCCAAGCACATCTGTTGGAATAAGTACAAAAAACATATCAGAACAGACTCAATAAGTCAAGCATGGAAACAAAATTAATTAACAATATTACTCAATTTTTGATCTAAGACTGAAAACTTTTGTTTCAGCAGATACATCATACTTTTTTTTTTTATAAGTGATTCCATGTATACAGTGATAAAGTTGTCCACAATAGTACTAAACACTTTAAACTAGAGATGTATGTATAGATGTTGGTGATAAATTAAAGCCCAAACACTCCTCGGTGTAGAAAACATTCAATTTGTTCACTAATACCAAAATTGTCACACTGTCCTTCCATCACTAAGCAGCATCCCACCGAGTTGTTACCCTCCAAAAACGACGACGGCCATATGTAGTATGACTGTCTATGACGAATTGAGTGCAAAGATACTCCGTCTACCATACATCGGTACACTCGGACCACCATGTCAAAATAACAAAGAATGCTTTCAGAAAAAATCTGAATATATGCTTGTAAAATTATTCATACAAATTTTACAATTCAAGCATATCGGAATAAAACTTCACACATACTAACAAGAGGCCACATAGTGATCGGCAAATACACTAAGAGACTTTTTAGTATTTTTTCCAGACAACTAGCCTGCAAGCTGGATTGTTAATCTAAGCTAGATAATTTTGGTTTAAATTGATTTCTTCTTATAGGCAAATTACTGTTGTTATAATCAAGGTATATTGGTTTTTACATTTTAAATCGAACAGGTAAAACCCAAAGACCAACAAAAACAGACCTAAACACCAAAAAAGCTTTAGCTAGCAATAGTTTCTATTCTTGTTATTAAATCTTATTGTTTCTGCTTTTTTCTAACCCTTAATTTAAAACACAAACTCAGTCAATTCTACCCAAATCTATGTAATTGATGTTCTGCACACCAACAACATTGTATATTTGAATTTGCATAAACAAAACAACTGATGCAGATTTCGGAGCAAAGAGATGGCTTTAAAGGGCACCTTGTGTCATATTCAAATTTTCTTAAAAAGAAATTTTTAAGATGGTCCAAATAGAAAAAAAATAAGTGACTCGGTCAATGTGTAATGCGTTGTACCTTCTTGTGAAGAATTAAAGAAATAATTGGAAACTATTTCTCACCTTCTGGGCCTGTGTAGATTCTGCCTGCGTTTCGACTCCTGCGTGCGAGGACTGGGAGTGACAATATAAAAGGGAGAATACAGCTTGACGGGAGATTTGGCATTGCGTAACGGACTGTACGACTTGCCCTCGTAGCCATTTCCTTTGGCCGTCCTCTGTATCCACTGATAAGAGAAAAAACAATCTTATTTTAATGTAATAAAAACATTCAAGAAAACCACTATAAATTAGTCTTTTTTCAAATCATGTATATAATTTTAGTCATTTAAGAACATTTGTTTATAATCTTTGACATACATACATACATATAAAATACACAGACTTTTTTTGAAATATTTCTCAGATTATACCTTTGTTGGATTTTTATGATATCCAAAAACACGAGAGAAAAAATTTATATGTAAATAAGAATTTTCTTGCTAAATGATCCATATTTGTCAAAAAAAGAACAATTAAAATCTTGACATTCCAACTATATTTGCCTAGACTCCAGGCATTTTAATTTCTATAGTCACGAAGATCATTCAAGTGTCTAATTGCTGAATATTAATTATGCCCGTTAACATAGAAAGCTAGGAGAAAGTATTAATGAATCATAGCCACCTGAGATAGTGAATATTTATGTAATTATTTTAATCTGACCATTTTTTGGATACTAAAATTGAACTAGAGAATCACAAAGTGATCATTGCAATACTCTAGCTCAGTTTTTATACCGATATATCAACGACAATTCCCTCGTCAAGCTTTATCCGACAGTTCAATCTCCACCAGGGTAATTAATGTCAAATTGTTTTTGTTGTCATTCCCATAAAAAATTAATTATTTGAAATTTTATAGCAGAATAAAGAATTAAAGATAATTCTGATCAAATTTGAACAAACTTTCATTTATTAAATGGGTGCAAATTGTATCTAAGCAGCATGTGCGTTTGTTCTTTAAGGTCTTCTCAATATATAGGTACAGTACAATTAAACATTTTTTTTCAACATGAACTCTTAGAACTGACATTTTCAAAATGCTTTTATTTTGTACCCACTTTATATATCTGTTGTCTAATTCTTATTCTATTATATATTCTAAATTTAAAAAATTATCAAGTTAACATAATATTTTTGGCTGCCAACCAGACAGCTTCAAATTTAAAAACATCTTTTGGCTGCATTTAGTTGATTGTCGACTACCGACTGCTACTGTTGTAACAAATTTATGTGAAATATCAATTCTTACAAGATATGGAAAATGGCCAAAACATGGCAAAATATACCTTATAATCAGTTATATTCATATACTAGTAAGGAATATAAAATAAAATAAGTTTATAAATAAAAACAATGAGTACAAATTGTACCCAATCAGTAAAACTGGTTTACAGGGTATAAAATTTTGAAAGTTATATTCATTAACCTTTAACCTTCTTACTCTTAGAATGTTCTCACAAAAACAACTTAACTGAAGTTCTGTTGTATCCTAATATTTCCTCGATTCCAAAATGATGGTCTAATCAAAACTTTTCTTTATTGAAAGATCAAGAGTTGAAAATTACAAAAAGTGCACAAAACAAGAAGACTCGAGTGACACGTACAAGATAACTAGCAAAAACTCTCCCACTGACACAGGCAACCATCTTGGAATGACTATTTGCCATCTGTCAGTCCCAACCAATCTTAGACATGTCAATCTTCTGCAAATTGGATATGTGGAACTATAAAAAAAAACACAAATTCCTCCTTTTAAAAACTCTTATATATTCTGGAAATTCCTTTCTAAATTTATCCTTTCATTTTCTGATAAATTTTTTATTCTAAAATTATGTTGATTAAATTCCACTTACTCTCAATCAGATCTTATACAACAAAGAGAATAAGTTTTTATAAATAAGCTATCTTTCAAGATTAATTAACATTTCTTTCTTTGACCTTAGATTTAATAGCAAAAATCCGTTAGCAGTTGATAAGGATAGATCCTATACACCTCTCTCTGTTCTTCACCCGTAGAAGAGCACAAAACTTCAGTGTAATAATCTCTTGTGATTGTTATAGAGTACAGATTTTCCATGTTTTTACCACAAATCCTGGCAATTCTAAGACCTTTTCCTTTTGTGGGTTAACTTTTGCTAGTAGTGCTTGTCTCTTCATTACCATTAATTGCTCAATGTTGACATGCGTAACTCAGAGCACTCTTATCATACAACACCTGTTTTATTCTTCTGTATGACCAGACATGTACCCAAGTGGTAGTAGGCTTTATGTATTTAAATTAGTTACAAGTGTTAACTAATCTGTATTGTATTTTGTTGTTCTTGAATAAATGCAATGCAGGCACCCATGAGACTTCCACTTTCATCCCCTTTCCTAAGCTTCCTCTTCATTTATACCATTTCACAACCAGGTAATACCTCTGAGTGAACCTGGTCTTCTGCCTCTTCCAGCTACGAATGTCTACGAATGAATGACCAGAATCACAGTAGAGATAGTTTATTGATTCTTGTTCTCCGATCCTTTCTGTAGAGTTTCTTATCACTTCCACAGACAAAGTGTGTATAGAATTAGCTCTTATTGTTTATATTAATTTATTAATATAAAGTAATATACCTTTTAAACAGTAAGTACATGCTAACCTATAGCACCTAGCAATATCTAATTTTTTGTCTTGTGCTAATATCTTTGCCATTCTCTATCAATAGTGTTTTGTAGTGCTTGGCAAGTTTGCTCAGACATTTTCTAGAATCTCTCTTAAGTGAAAGATTTTGTGTGATATTCTTTCCATATTAACATCAGCTAACCTACTGCTTCTATAAAGTCCAATAAGCCCTTTTATTTATTCTGGCAATGGCAGTTTACTAAATTTTTTAATCATTTCATCTATTGATATTGAGTCTTGGTTATGAGAAATAAAACTGGCATCAAACCCCTAGTAACATTCCATAATGCAACTATTACTCATATTACTTTATATAAATAGATTAATATAAACAATAAGAGCTAATTCTATACACAGTTCTGGGGAAAAATCTGAATAACTAAGATTCATGCAGTCGCAAAGCATGTAGTAGATAATTGCATACTAAAGTAATTATGAATTGCAACAAATTTCTTCCATAAACAGTTTATGTAAATGATATATAAAAATGTCACTTTGATTATTACTGTATATCTTGAAATATATCACACACAATTTGATGTCATACAATACTGAAGAGTTTGAAGTTTTCATTCAAATAGAAACACATTCTTTGAAAACAATGACAAATTTTTGTTGTAGAAGCAAATCTAAAAATGTGTCAATGATGCCTATTTGTATTGTCTAACATAAAATGGGTCACTTCCGCTCTGCTAATCTTTCAATTGTCAACAGTATGGGAATTACCTTGCATGGGTATTCCATTCTAGACATAATAATAATACTGCTGGCTTAACAGTTTCACACAAAACACATGGGACTTGATGGCATGCTCCATTTTATTCAAAAACTGTTTTTAACCTTGTCTCCGAATTACTTTACACGCCAAAATCTTCAGAGTCTTAAGCATTGCGAGAAAGTCATCAATACGAATGAGTGCACTTAAACTCAACACCAAACAGTAATAGATTAACATTTTTGAACTGTTTATAGACCATTGCAAGGATCAGAAAACATTCCAACACAATATTCATACTATAAAATATGCATTATGGCCAAGTTTATACAGTACTAAAGTGTATTTGAAGTCAGTCTTCCTGCTTTACATCCCAGCAGGTTTGCATAATCCTTTTGGTTAAAGTCATTGGATTTCAGACCCCCAATTAAAGGAGAATCATCTCTGCATAAGAATCGATGATACAAATAAAAACCTTAGCAGGATGTCACAGATAGTAAATGCACTCAGATATAACAAAACTGCCATTAATTGTCTTATACAAGTTTTGTTTTAATGGCAATCCAACCATCAAACAAGTATCCTACGAAATATATGTGAAATGAATTTATTCAACCAGGATGACTTCAATACATACAGTTGATGGTATTGTGTGGCTCTAGATTAGTATATATATAAAATCCTAATCTACAGATTGTTAAGAAACAACAAGGACAAAATCCCAGATGACAGAGAACCAGGATTTACATTACACTGGCTGAAAATAATAGAACGAGGAGTAAGGCAATATATGTACAATACGCCAAGAATTTTGCAGTGGCACTAGCCTGTTATGATAATGCCAAAGATATAAAGATTTTATGGAATAAGGCTAGAGAAATCAGGTCATTGGTATATGTGGCAACTATTGAAAAAATTGAAATATACAGGCTGAAACTAAAGGACTCACATCTGAATGGAAAGGATGTGGAGTCATTACACATGGAGTGAAAGTCCATTAAATACCACTCCTAAACTTATACTGGGACTTATGTATAACAAACTAAAAAAAAAGTATTCACATCGGGAAAAACAAGAAAAATCTTCAAGTTTGACACTAAACAATTGCAACGGAAAGTAATTATCGAGCCAATTTATAAATCAAAGGATGAATATCAAAAAAATTTAATAAGTTATCTAGCAACTGAGATGATAACATGAAATATTAATTGGTTTATTGTGCACATTTAAACAAAAATATTTCAATTTTAATCAATCAAAAAAGAGCCAATCATCCAATCATTATAACTTACTTATCAAGCAAATTTAATAAAATTAAAATTTATGCAAATAATATATATTTTTTATTTGACTTTCATTCTAACACCAAAATACCTTTATCTTTTAACACAAGATGGCATACAAAAAACAATTCCATGCAGAGTTTGGCCATTTATTTGTTCAACGTATCATATATTACAATTTGTTAAATACTAGGCAAGTGGCACGAGGGCATCATTTTCTGGATTAGCTACTTGAAGTGTGCCATAGAGTTAGCATCATGTTTGTCGGTTTGTAGTTTAAGTGTACTATCTTGAAAATCTGGTGTGTTGTGCTGCCATAGAATGATCAGACCTGGGAGAGATGTTAAGATGTTTGTTTTTCCCTGTTGGAAAAGAGATATTCATAGGTAAAGTTAAATAAGAAAACTGGAAGTTATCTCCTCATTTGAAGTTGTGAGGTATATCTAAATTTATTGATTTAATTAAAAGTTTTATAGTTCACTTTTTAGTTTGGACCAATCAACTTTTAGACCTAATATTAAAA